TACATTACCTCAAAATGAAAAGTTTATGTATAAATAATTTGAAAAATAAAGTACTTTTTTGAAAACAGTAAAAATAAAAAGCATTAACTATTGGTGCAAATATAAATGGTACTCATAAGTTACCGTTCCTCTCCATCCTATTTAAAATTATCCCTCCATATTTGTATCAGTCAGGTTCTCAAAAGAGACCAACAGGAGATAAATATATAAATATACATATATTTATAAGTATATATAAAGACATACATAAGATATATTTTAAGAATTGGCTCACATAGTTGTGGGGGCTGGCAAGTCTGAAGTCTGTAGGACAGACAGGCAGGCTGGAAACTCCAGCAGGAGTTGATGTAGCAATCTTGACTTAGAAATCTGTAGGGCAAACCAACAGGCTAGAAACTTGGCAGAATGTAACGCTTTAGTCTTGACATATTTCCTTGCCAGAAAAACTTGAGGTTTTGCTCTTACAGCCTGAGACTCATTGGATGAGGCCCATCCACATTATCAAGGGTAATATTCTCTACTTCAAATCGAATGATTGTACATGTAAACCACAAAACGCCTTCATAAAAACACCTAAATCAATGTGTAATTAAATATCTGGGTGCTATAAATTAGCTAGGTTGACTTTTTTTGTTTTTATTTTTTGTAATGGCCTTTTAAAGGCTTAGTTATAGTACTAACCATGTGACACCACCTTGCAGGACAGGGGCATACTCTTTAGGAGGCTACATATGCTCTAAATAAGTGTCAAATATATGGTGTTGTTTCACCTGTAGTCAGGATTCACAGGTCCAGGAATCAAGGGGTGAAAATTGAAGTGGTATTACTTACTATACCCTAGTTATCCACCAGCAAAATTTTTGTTTCCTGTCCCCATGACATTATGCTATGCTGGTGTTGAGGTCTTAGTTTCAAAGGGTGGGATGCTACCACCAGGAGATACAATAATTCAATTGAACTGTAATTTAAGATTGTCACCCTGCTACTTTGGGCTTCTTTTGCCTCTATGCCTCTAAGTCAATAGGCAACAAAGGGAGTTACTGTACTGCTAGCATGATTGATCTTGATTACCAAGGAAAAAGCTTGCAACTTGTTGGGCTCTTACTTCACAATGGAGGTAAGTAAGTATAAGTATGTCTGGAATACAATAGACCCCTTAGAAGATCTCTTAGTATTACCAGGCCCTGTGATTAAGGTCAATGGAAAACTACAACTGGGCATGGTGGCATATACCTGTAGTCTCAGTTATTCCTGGTTAGTACTATAACTAAGCCTTTAAAAGGCCATTACATTATTCTACCAAACCAGTTGCTTCAGATGGCTGGGAACATGGTAAGGCCAGTGAATTCTATGAACATGGGCCCACTCCTCTAACTTCACATGTAAAGTGAGTTCCTTAATCAGAAGCAATATTATGTAAAATAACATGGCAGTGGATAAGGCATTCTGTAAATCCACAGATGGTAGTTTTGGCAAAATCATGGTGTGCAAGAAGGTAAATCCATACTTAGAGTAAGTTTCTATCCCAGTAAGAAAAAATGCTATCCCTTCTATGATAGAAGTGGTTGAATATAATCAACCTGACATCAATAACTGGCTGATCACTCTGGGGAATGACTCTAATGGTGTCTGCTGCAGGCAGATTGAGCACTCTCAGCAGCGGGTATAGCCAGGTCAACCTTAGTGAATTGAAGTCCATGTTGCTGATCCCATTAATAACTTATATCCCTACCTCTGTGGCTACTTTGTAAATGAGCCCATTGGGCAATGACAGAAGTAGCTGAGGAAGGTGACTGACTATTATCCACAAAACAGATCATCCTATTCGCTTGACTATAAAAATCCTCCTCTGCTGAGGTCATTCTTTGGTTAGCATTCACATGGGACACAAATATCTTCAGGGTTTGTTTTTTTTTAACCCATTCATAGAGGTCTACCCACATATATTTTTCTCTTACCTCCTTATCACCAATTTTCCAATCACATTCCTTCCAAGTCCCTGACTATTCATTTAAACCATTGGACACAGTCCATGAATCAACATACACTCAAACTTCTGGCCATTTCTCCCTCTTTTTATTTTTTTATTATTTATTTGTTTGTTTATTTATTTATTTTGAGACAGTTTCCTGCTTGTTGCCCAGGCTGGAGTGCAATGGCACGATCTCAGCTCACTGCAACCTCCACCTCCTGAGTTCAAGCGATTCACCTGCCTCAGCCTCCCAAGTAGCTGCAATTACAGGCATACAACACCACACCTGGCTAATTTTGTATTTTTAGTAGAGACAGGGTTTCTCCATGTTGATCAGGCTGGTCTCGAACTCCTGACCTCAGGTGATCCACCTGCCTCAGCCTCTACAGACGTGAGCCACCATGCCAGACTTCCATTTCCCCTTCTAAGTAAAAATGAACAACAAGGTACAATCTGCAGTGCTCTATGTTCTTCCCAATGAGAGGGTTTCCCTTCATCACTGTCTTTCTGGGATGTCCCAGAAAGGGATTATTATTAGTGGCAGTGCTGTCCACTTTCAGGTGGTGCCCTCATATCATGCACAACCATCTGTAAACCAGGCTCATTTCCTCTTCTTCATTCAATTTATCACAGAGAACTCCTATGAGGCAATAGATGGAGGGTGGGAGAGAAGAGGTAATATACCATGAGTGGGGCCATAAGCATTTGGGTCACTTCTTCCTGTGGGCTACTTATGCCTTCTGGGCCTGCTGAAGCCCAACTTTATATACAATTTCCATTTGGTGATTGAGTGCTGGTGTGCATGCTCAACTTTATGGCTTGGTGGGTCAGATAATACTCAGTTCATGATGGACAGCTCAGGTCACATTGTAGCATGGTGACCAAAGGTTAATTGTTCAGTCTCTACTAAGGCCCAGTAGCAAGTCAAAGGCTGTTTCTCCAAAAGTTAGTAGTTATCTGCAGAGGATGATAGAGCTTTGCTCCAAATTCCTAGGACTATGTGTTGCAATTCACCTATAGCAGCTTGCCAAAGGCTCCAAGAAGCATTTCTATCTGCCACTGACACTTCAAGCACCATTGAATCTTCTGGAACATATGGCCCAAGTGGCAGAGCAGCTTGCATGGCAGCCTGAACCAGTTGCAGAGACTTCACTTGTTCTGGGCTACACTCAAAACTAGCAGCTTTTTAGGTCACTCAGTAAATGGGCCAGAGTAACACACTCAGATAAGAAATACGTTGCCGCAAAAGTTTAAAGAGGCCCTTCAGGTGTTTTGCATTTTTTCTGGTTGTAAAAAAGAACAGATGCAAGAACTTAACCTTTACCATAGAAAGGACATCTTTATATGCCCCATACCACCGGATCCATAGAAATTTCGCTGAGTTAACATAGGCGGGTATTGAACAATGAGAACACATGGGCACAGGGAGGGGAACATCACAGACTGGGATATGTTGGGGGTTGGGGGGCTAGGGGAGGGACAGTGGAGTGTGGGGAGGTTGGGGAGGGATAACACTGGGAGAAATGCCTGATGTAGTGATGGGGGGATGGAGACAGCAAACCAATATGGCATGTATGTACCTATGCAACAGTCCTGCAAGATCTACACATGTACCCCAGAACTTAAAGTACAATTTTTAAAAAAAGAATTATAAATATTATACAAAGTTTATAAAATTCCTATCTTATAGTCAAGCTGATTAAAATTCCATAGCTTTTATGTAAAATTTTATTAAAAATTAATTTTAACAGTAAAACAAAAACCAAATACATATTTTGCACATGGGCCCATCAGGCTAGCACTAGCGTGGCTGGGGAAAAAGGATGACTGTTGCTAGGTGCAATGGCTCAGCTGTAATCCCAGTGCTTTGGGAGGCCAAGGAGGGTAGATTGCTTGAGTCCAGGAGTTCAAGACCAGCTTGGGCAACAGTGTGAGACCCTGTCTCTATTTAAAATAAAATTATTTTTACAAGGAAAAAAAGAAAGAAAGAAATTTCACTGAGTTGAAAGTTCTCTTATTTTAAAAAATGTATTTCTCACCCTCTGACTTACCAATAAGTCTAGAGTAGTTGCTATTACTTGCTCACTAGGTCCAATCAACATAATGTAATCCATGCAATGAATCAGTGTGATGTCTTGTGGAAGGGGAAGGTAAGCAAGGTCCCTGTGAATTAATTATGAAATAGGGTGGAGAACTGACAGAGACAGAAAGTATTGCTGGCTTTACCAGATAAAGCAAACTTCTTCTCATGATCTTTACTAACAGAAATTAAGAAAAAAGGCATTTGTCATCGACGATAGACTGGATAGGGAAAATGTGGCACATATACACCATGGAATATTATGCAGCCATCAGAAACGATGAGTTTGGGTCCTTTGTAGGGACATGGATGAACCTGGAAACCATCATTCTCAGCAAACTGACAGAAGAGCAGAAGATCAAACACCGCATGTTCTCACTCATAGGTGGGTGTTGAACAATGAGAACACATGGACACAGGGAGGGGAGCACTACACACTGGGGTCAGTTGGGGGGAAATAGGGGAGGGAGGGCGGGGGGTGGGAAGCTGGGGAGAGATAGCAAGGGGAGAAATGCCAGATGTAGGTGATGGGGAGGAAGGCAGCAAATCACACTGCCACGTGTGTTCCTATGCAACAATTTTGCATGTTCTTCACATGTACCCCAAAATGTAAAATGCAATAAAATAAATAAATGGGAAAAAAAAAGAAAAAGAAAAAAGGCATTTGTTAGATCAATAGCTGCATAGCAGATACCAGAAGATGTGTTAATTTGTTCAAGCAATGAAACCTCATCTGGTACAGCAGCTGCAATTGAAGTCACTACCTGGTTAAGCTTTTGAAAATGCACTGTCATTCTCCAAGATGAAACTTTTAAAAAAGTTGACACATAATAATTGTACATATTTATAGGGTATAATATGATGGATGTTTTCATACATGTATACATTGTATAATGATTGAATCATGGTAATTAGCATATCCATCACCTTAAGCATTTATCATTTCTCAAAAATATGAAATACTTCATGAATTTGCATGTCATCTTTGCACAGGGGTCATGATCATCTTTTCTGTATTGTTCCAATTTTAGTATATGCATTGCTGAAGCAAGCAAAAAATTCGTGTGTTTTCTGCATAGGCCAAATAGGTAAGTTGAATGGGGATACAGTGGAAATCATCACCCTTGCATTTTTCAAGCCCTTGGTGGTTGCACTGATCTCTATAATCCCTCCAGGAACGTAGTATTGCTTTTGATTTACTATTTTCCTAAGCAGAGGCAGTTCTAGCAGGTTTCACTTGACCTTTTGTACCATAATAACAACAATCCACAAGTCAGGGAATCAGTGTGGGGATTCTACCAGTTGCTGACTGTGTCTATTCCAATTATATATCCCAGAACTTGGAAAATAACCAGAGGATAGGTTCAGGAACCTACTGGGTCCACTATGAGGTAGATGTGAGCTAAAACTCCATTAAATAACTGACCTCCATAAGCCCCTAATCTGACTGGTGGACCACAGTGCCATTTTGGGTCTCCTGGAATTCATGTCATTTCAGAGCTGGTGTTCAGTTATTTCTGAAAAGTCTGATTATTTCATTTTCCCCAGTGCCCTCTTTACTATTGTAAGTAGTCATTAGTGCATTTAAACCTAATCAGATCAGAGAAGCAATTTCAGAAACTTCAGAACCAATTCAGAAAACCCATTCTTAAGATTCAGTTCCTCTAGAACCACTCTTGGTAACAAAATGTGTGTCAGTCAGTGCTCTTCAGAAAAATAGAACAAATAGAATCTTATTTTTAAATATGACTCTTTTATAAATATGATTTATAAGATTTATCATTCATCTTTATTATTTTACTTATCTTTTTTATTTTATATTTATAAAACTTAGAAGAGCATTATCCTTAAATATTGGCTCATGCAATTGTGGGGGCTGGCAAGTCTGAAATCCACAGGGAAGGCCGTTGGGCTAGAAACTCTGCGGAAGATGATGCTACAGTCTTGAGGCAGAATTCTTTCTCTTCCAGGAAACATCATGTTTGCTCTTAAGGCCTTCGAGTGATTGGATGAGGCCCATCCACATTATTGAGGGTAATCTCCTTTACTTCAAGTCAACTGATTGTACATGTTAACCACATCTATAAAATACCTTCACTGCAACATCTAGATTAGTATTTGATTAAATAACTGGATAGTATAGCATAGCCAAGTTGACACTTAAAATTAACAAACACAACACTCTACATTCCCTTTCCTTGCCTTATTTTTCTTCTAATTTATCTGCATATAACATATTCTATATTTTATTTAGGTATTTTGGGTTTTATCTGTTTCCTCCCAGCTTCAATGTAATCTCCAGAAGGAAGGGATTTTTGTCTACTTTGTTAAGTTTGCTTTGGTTTCAATGTGTCCCCTCCAAAATCCAGGTGCTGAAACTTAATAGCCAATGTGATGTTATTAAGAGGTGTGGCACTTGAGAGGTGATTAGGTAATGAGAGCTCCTCCCCTCAAGAATGGAATTAGGCCCTCAGAAAAGATTCTTCATGCACATTTGGCTCACTTGCCCTTCTGCCTTCTACCATGTGAGAACATCATGTTCCCCCAACAAGGAGGATGCAGCAACAAAGCTCCATCTTGGAAGCAGCCCTCACCGAACATTTCCAGTGCCCTGATCTTAGAGTTACCAGACTCTAAAACTGTGAGAAGATAAATTTCTGTTATTTATAGATTACCCAATCTCAGGGTTTTTTTATAGCAGTACAGAGAGCCTGAGACGTTGTTGCATACATAGCCGCTAGAATAGTTGCTGGCACATATTTTGGAGTAAATAAGTATCTGTGGAATAAATGAGTAAGTTTGTTGAAGTTATTCAGAAAGCAATTTGGCAACATCTGGTAACATTGAAGATGTGCACTTAAGGATGTTTATTACAACATAGTTTACAATATCAAAAAGTTGAAAACCAGCCAACTGTCCCTTGATAGTGAAATTGGTTTTTTAAAATTGTGTTATATTTATACCAAGTAATTACCTTGTTCAGTTAAAGTGAGTTAGACAAAACTCATGTAGAAACACAGACAAATTTCAAAACAATTTTTTTTTCAGACAGTCTCACTTTGTCAACCTGGCTGGAGTGCAGTTGTTGGCCCACTGCAAACTCTACCTCATAGGTTCAAGCGATTCTCATGCCTCAGCCTCCCGACTAGCTGGGATAACAGGCATGTGTTATCATAACCAGCTAATTTGTGTATTTTTAGTAGAGACAGGGATTCACTGTGTTGGCCAGGCTGGTCTCGAACTCCTGACCTCAAGTGATCCACCCACCTTGGTCTCCCAAAGTGCTGGGGTTACAGGTGTGAGACACCATGCCTAGCCCAAAACCAAAATATTAAATAGAAAAAAGTTGCAAAATGACATGTACACTATGATATTGTAAAATTTAACAGTAGGAGATTCAGGGAAAGATAGCCAAAAGGAAGCTTCTCTGGAGTGCAGTTACCACCGAGTGAGAGAGAATCAGAGAAATATCCGTGTCTCCAAGCGAGGCACCGGTAAAGGGATTGGTTGAACCGTGGGATTAACCCCCAAAAAAGCCAGTGAAAGCAGCCCAAAGGGGTCCAGCTGAGGCAAGGCGGGGTGCACTACTCCACCTGGAAAGCATATCAGGCATGGAGGATGAGGGGGTGTCACCTCCTCCATTCTCTGAATCAGACACAAAAATTCACTCCAAGACTTCGGCAGCACACAGATCAGGGAAACGCTGCCTTGCTGAGAACCACCCGGAGTCACAGACCTGGGCTACAGACCAGGCCGGCAGCCCCGGCCAGACCGGTGCCTTGTTAGCGCAGACCAGGGCAGAGATTTGGGCTAATACTGAGAAAACTTGCAAAAAGGAACTGCCCATCCCACAGAAGGGAGAGTTGAAAGCTGGGAAGGAGATACAACCAGACAGGCCCCTCCCTCACAAGGTCCAGCAACGGAGTCCCTCTCCCTAGAGAGTTTTGCAGTTAACACATCCTCCACCTGGGAACAGCGGGCTCCGCAGAGAGAAAGAGCCTGCCATTTGGAAGGCGGGGCTAACCCCACTAGTACGGAAACCAGGTGAGGAATAAACAGCAGCCTCTCTGAGACCCAGCCCCAGCAGCACCTCCACAGGCAGACAATGGACAGATTATCTCAAGTGGCACACTGACACTTGTGTTTAAAACAAGAAAAGCCTCATACAGGAGAAATAACCCCAACTTTAACAGAAAGAATGTCTACTCAGAGAAGATGTGAAGAAGCCAGCGCAAAAAGGACAAAAACATCAAAGTCCAGAATGCCTCTCCTCCCCAGAGAGATCATAATGACTCACCAGCCTGGCAACAAAACAGGTCAGAAGACGATTTTGATGAGCTGACAGAAGATGGGTAATAACAAATTTCTCTAAGCTAAAAGAACATGTTTTAACCCAATGCAAAGAAACTAAGAACCTTGAAAAAAGATTAGATGAAATGCTAACTAGAAAAACCAGCCTAGAGCAGAACATAAATGACTTGATGGAGCTGAAAAACACAACACAAGAACTTCGTGAAACATACACAAGTTTCAATAGCCAAATCGATCAAGCAGAAGAAAGGATATCAGAGATTGAAGATCAACTCAATGAAATGAAAAGAGAAAAAGGAGTGAAAATAAATGAACAAATCCTCCAAGAAATATGGGATTATGTGAAAAGACCTAATTAATGCTTGATCAGTGTACCTGAAGAGGATGGGGAAAATGAATCCAAGCTGGAAAACACTCTTCAAAATATTATCCAGGAGAACTTCGCCAACCTAGCAAAGCAGGCCAACATTCAGAAACAGGAAATACAAAGAACACCACAGAGATACTCCTCAAGAAGAGCAACTCCAAGGCACATAATCATCAGATTCACCAGGGTTGAAATGAAGGAAAAAATGCTAAGGGCAGCCAGAGAGAAAGGTCAGGTCACCCACAAAGGAAAGCCCATCAGACTCACAGCAGATCTCTCAGCAGAAACCCTACAAGCCAGAAGAGAGTAGAGACCAATATTCAACATCCTTAAAGAAAAGAACTTTCAAGCCGGAAGCTCATATCCAGCCAAACTAAACTTCATAAGGAAGGAGAAATAAAATCTTTTATGGACAAGCAATTACTGAGAGAATCCAAAACCACCAGACCTACCCTACAAGAGCTCCTGAAGAAAGCATTAAACACAGAAAAAAACATTCAGTACCAGCCACTGCAAAAATGAACCAAATGGTAAAGACCAATGATGTAATGAGGAAACTGCATCAACCGACGGGGAAAACAACCAGTAACAAAATGGCAGGATCAAATTTACACATAACGATATTAACGTTAAATGTAAATGGCCTAAATGCCCCAATCAAAAGACACAGACTGGCAAACTGGGTAAAAAGTCAAAACCCATCAGTGTGCTGTATTCAGGAGACCCAACTCACATGCAAAGACACACATAGTCTCAAAATAAAGGGATGGAAGCAGATCTACCAAGCAAATGGAGAGCAAAAAAAAAGCAGGGGTTGCAATTTTAGTCTCTGATAAAATCAACGTTAAACCAACAAAGATCAGAAGAGACAAAGAAGGACACTACATAATGGTGAAAGGATCAATACAACAAGAAGAGCTAACTATCCTAAATATATATACGCCAAATACATGAACGCCCAGATACATAAAGCAAGTTCTTAATGACCTACAAAGAGACTTAGACTCCCGCACAATAATAGTGGGAGATTGTAACACTCCACTGTCAACATTAGACAGATCAACAAGACAGAAAATCAACAAGGATATACAGGACTTGAATGCAGAACTGGAACAAGCAGACCCAATAGACATCTACAGAACTCTCCACCTCACAGCCACAGAATATACATTATTCTCAGCACCACATTGCACCTACTCTAAAATTGACCACATAATTCGAAGTAAATCACTTCTCAGCAAATGCAAAAGAAGGGAAATCATAACAAACAGTCTCTCAGACCACAGGACAATCAAATTAGATCTCAGGATTAAGAAACTAACTCAAAACCGCACATCTTCAAGGAAACTGAACAACTGGCTCCTGAATGTTGACT